TGGCAAATCTGGACATTCAAACGCTCATAACTTCTTTCTCAAACCTATTCCGCAAAAAAGGAAAGCAGATTTGGAATCAGCGTTCAAAGTTGCATCTAGTGATATACATCTCATCTTCAATTGCCAACTAATGCTGGTATCCTTCCCTTGTAAGCTGCGAAAAGTCAGAATTCGCTATAACTTTGCACTATAGGGCAATCCCATGCGGTAAACACGAATATCATATTCACTTGTCGCTAAAGTGAAATTCATCTTTTGATCTCACGAATGAGGCCTTTTCATGCGAAACGGATCTCATTTTTGTGATCAGCATGTCAAATAAGCCCCATAGGCCAAGTTTCAGCAAAATCTGATGCATTCTAAAAATTTTCCCATAGTACCGTAAACCTACCGTAATCCTCACATAAGATAGTAAAATTCGGCAAAAATGTGTGCATTGGAAACTTACATCATATTCCTTATATTGCCAAAAAATGAATGCGCTAAGTTTAATTAGACAAAAGTTATATAAAAAGTTGCATTACTTATGTGCCAACCTAATAGATATGGCAACACACAAGTTGAAGGAAGTGTTCAGATATTACAAGCAAAGCCTTTTTAGCCGAAGTGGCTTTTCAGATGAGTTCTATATTGTTTTAAAGAGCATTGTGCGCCGATTCCAAATACTTTCATTATCTGCAAAGCGTCATTGGACCCTTGGTTATGAGTAGTTTTTGGAGCGGAAAATGAACTCAGAATTTATGCAAGAACTGGGTACAATCTTTTCTATGCTCAAATGGAAGTGTTGGGTATGAGGGTACTAGACAGAAGGTTTTCACTGAAATTGCTTTAATAATTGGCACTAGACCATTTTAGCAGTTGTGGATAATTTTGTTTCAGTTGTATTGAATTTGATCTAAGCTCATAACTCTGCCTTCAGAAACGCTCGGATGAAAAGGAAGACATACTTGGAAACTTCAATGCTGTACAAAGTGATGTAGCTTTTAAAAAACCACTTCGACCAACGCTTTCCTTGTTCGATAGCTGTATTTCTTATGGGTGTGTACTGAGCGGAACACTTTACTTAAAGGCAGTGTCCCACCAGACGGGAGGTATCTGGCTCTCGTCGTAATTTGATGGTAGACCCCCTAACTAAGCGACGACAGAAGTTTGCAGCGCGAAAGGGGGTCTACGAAGTCTATAAATCGCCCCTCAAGTGGCCCGAATCTTGTGGTAGGCTCGGGCGAGTGCGAGATGCGTGCAAGGTAGAGACGCAGAGTTGCAGGACCCTGCGCTCATGACAGTGTGCGCTATACGCACTCTGGCCTTGCAAATCGATATTGCTGTGTGGGCGGCGTCCGGGCCCACCGTAAGATTCGGGCCATTTTCGGAGCAAATTTCAGACTTGGTAGACTCCTTCTTTCGCTCCGAACTTCAGTCATCGCTTAGGTAGGGGGTATAATTTAACATCACCACAAAAACCCGGCACCTATCTTTCTGCCGGGACGCTGCCTTTCAGGCATCACTCAAGCAGATTATTTGATCCATTCATGACCTAGAGATCGAACCTTAGACTTTCGCCTAACACCACGCCTCCATGCAAGCCGTAATTCCTAGTTAAAGGCAGCGTTCGCGTTCACCAACCTAGTCTTACCCCTTCGGTGAGTGCAAAAAAGTCCAAAACGGTCTTTCCTTAAGCTCTTGACTTTTATATAGATGCAATACAACAAGTTGCGCGGAGTCGTTGGGGGACCTATGCTCATAGATGTGTATGATATGCGCAATCTAGTTTGCAGTTTAAAACTGTGAATGGGCGTACACGCGGCCCGCTAACGATAGAGGAACTGTGGCAGAGCTCCTGGTGCAATTTTCTTGCTTCAAAAGCTAGATTTCAAAATGGGACTTAATCTATTAAGACAGACGCATTTGTACGCTGCCACTATATCGTTATCTTTAACCTCTAACTTTGATTTTAAGCATTTTCTTCCATCTGCACCTGTGGACATTCCTGTGCATTTTTACGGCCATCTGAATGTATGTGTGCATCATCTGCATATGAGTTGCAATAATACAAATGTTCGGAGCAGCTTCCTCCCCTTCCCCTCATGGCAAGCTCCGCCAAACACGGGCAATAATGCCGGAATTTGCACGAATTTCAAGGATTGCATAAAAACAGGTTCACCAAACTCAATCACAGTAAATCAAAAGGTATTATTGTTATTGTTCCTTGGCATTTGTTCGCAGTATCTCGTTTCCCTTGATAATCAATAAAAGTCCTAGTCTTCAAAATCTAACGGCTTAAAAAGGACCTTCGATCAGAAAATTCCAAAATTAAAAAGGACCTTCGATCAGAGAATTCCAAAACGAGCGAACTTCTGTAGATTCCAAAGACGTTGCACTTTGCTGACAATACTGCTGTCAACGGGACGAACAGTTGGAATTCCACGATGGTGCGGATGCAACTCCGCAAGCTGCAGCCTACTCTTGATTAAGTGAATGCCCGTTTTCAGGCCATGTATTAGGTTGTCCGGAAACTAATGCAGGTTTTGATTTCCAGCCGCAATAAGTCATACATTTCTCATTTTTGAACAAAGGTACTGTTCGATAGAGCAAAGCAAGCTCTACAAGATGGCTATCTTGCTCTAGCAACAGCTCTGATTCATCTCGAGTTGCGAGCCAAAAACTAAAAATATTCAACTGCCCGAAAAATTGAGAAAAATCGTAACTCAGTTCGTAAAAATCCTACAAAAATTCTAACTTGCTCACGACACAATCCACATAAGGCATCTATATACGCCGTTGCCGTATTTTTTTTCTCTGTTAGAAATCAAGAAAACGGAAATTTTCGTTCATCTGCTAAAGTGGCGCTGCACCGTTCGCACATAGGTAGTTGTATACTACAAACTTTTAAAAGTGCAAACGTAAATTTTCAGCTCTCTACAAGCTTTAGTTCGCGAGAAATTCAAATTTTAGCTTGGACCGCATGACTAGGGAAAACTGTTTTCGATATTTCTCGAGAACTAAAGCTTGTAGAGAGCTGGAAATTTACGTTTGTACTTCTAAAGGTTTGTAGTATACAGCTACCTATGTGCGAACGGCACAGCACCACTTTAGCAAATGGACGAAAATTTCCGTTTTCTTGATTTCTAACAGAGAAAAAAATACGGCAACGGCGTATATAGGTGCCTTATGTGGATTGTGTTTACGTGAGCAAGTTAGAATTTTTGTAGGATTTTTACGAACTGAGTTACGATTTTTCTCAATTTTTCGGGCAGTTGAATATTTTTAGTTTTTGGCTCGCAACTCGAGGTGAATCAGAGCTGTTGCTAGAGCAAGATAGCCATCTTGTAGAGCTTGCTTTGCTCTATCGAACAGTACCTTGCAACCTATTCAAAATGAGAAATGTATGACTTATTGCGGTTGGAAATCAAAACCTGCATTAATTTCCGGACAACCTAATATAAGCCTGAGGAAGAGCTGCTATCGACGAATCGATGTTACCATTTGGGCACCGCGTTTCGCCTTACTATGGAACCAACCCTCATAAATATGGTTCCTGTTCTGTTCTCGTGCTGGCTACACCCAGAAGATCGAGGTGTATGGCAGAAAAGATTTAAACAAGATAGCCAGTGTAGCGGAGGCAGTAGTTGACTGATGTCTTCGTAACGATAACTGGTACCCAGTGAGAAACTTGCTCACTCCTTACTAACAAGGGAAGGATACCAGGTCGCAGTGGCTAACTGAAATGATATGCATACCATTAGTCTTGATGAGTTGATTTCAAGTCTACCTTTTCAATCTGCTACGAGCTACTCTAGAAGAAGCTATGGGCGTTTAAAAATGTGAGATTGTCGAGATTTTAATGCGCAATGCGCACTTGAAATTAGCTTAGGAGTGACCTATTGGCATTGTTTTGAGTACACTGACTACAAGAAATGCATAGATATACCGAACACATGAAAAAGCGCCTTCGAACAAGTAGTTCTTGAAGATGTGGCACTGAATGTTTGCTAAATTTGGACATTCGAAAGCCCATAACTTCATCTAAAGGAGCTCGCAGCAGATAAGAAAGGTAGATTTGGAATCAGTTCATCAAAACGCATCTAATGATATGCATATCATTTTAGTTCGCCACTGCGATCTGGTATCCTCCCTTTTAAGATGAAGACAGACATGGAAGAAACCCTCCGAAAATAGCGTAAGTTCATTGCTAAGATCCTCAGCTCTTTTATCCGGTAACCCAGATGCCCTCAACTCTTCGTTTTTGTACTGATCAAAGGGCAGGAAGTCAGTATCACTCACGTCGGAGTGCCAATTGTTAATGAAGTGCTGTAGAAGAACAGGAAACATTTCGATCATGAAAGATTTAACAAAGGTAGCCAGTGTAGCGGAGGCAGTAGTTGACTGATGTCTTCGTACAATAATAACTGGTACTCGATAACAGTTTGGATTTTTGCGAGCGGAACCTGGTGTCTAACCCAGATTACAAAGGCTAAAAGTAGACGCTTTCGTTCTGATTGCTTCAAATCTTTGCAATTCTTGCAAATGCCAGATGCCTAGCTACGGAGACGAGAGCAAATGTTGCAACAAGTGCTGCTTAGATCGTTTCCAGACAACGCACCATTGTTATTTGACAACGAAGAGCAACAGATATTGAATGTGAGTCACAAAGCAGTATATAGTTGGTCAGTACCGATATATGGTACTTTTGAGCTTGAGCTGGTAACCTGGAAAAGAAAGGGAAAAAAGAATTTGTCACAATTGAAATTTAGATCGTCGTGCACCATTGCGCGACGCTGTCGGTAGAACACTACCCAGTCACTGCCTTTGTAGCCGCCTCTATGTCCACATAAGGAAATTGATAAACCCAAAAACACCTGATGGTCCAGTTCTGATCTCTTCTCTCTCGCCTCCCTTCCTTTCATAAGCAGCTATTATTTGAGAGAGTGACAAGGTCGTTGGCAACTCCAAAATGAAATCTTTATCATTTTTCGTTAATACACACGCTATCCTAGCATAAGCTATATCGCTAGGTTTTGCACGAACTTTTTGAAGAACCTCTTTGGCAAGGAACGCAATGAGCTGGACCAGCGTTGTGTTCCCTTCAAAAGTAGTCCAGCTCGCTTTTCATTAACAAATTTTCGCTAAATACTTGATTCTTACTTGTATAGAATTTGCCAACTTTATTATTGTTTTGGTGGGCGGCGGTGTGCACTTTGCATGTGCTAAAAGGAGTTAGTTTCTATAATCATAGCTGTAGGATAATTCGTAAAAACACACTTCTTTGTCCTTCAGGCAAGCAGATGTGACAGAATATATGAGCACAGGGTAGTTTTGTCATCTTTTCCACAAATACCATCTGACCGCAGACGCCGTCACAAAGTTGCATTTCTGGCATTTCTTCGCCAACCTTAAAGCGAGCCTAATTGATCCTTTTCAGAAAAGTGTCATATATAGCTGTATCTGAGTCCTCCCCCTCTCAGTGTGGTCTGACGCCCCAACTTGTCGTTGCGGGACACCATGTGCCGTGCGATGTGCAGCCGAATGTACACCTAACAGGCTCCCAAACTCTAAAGAAGATTGTTGTTACCCCTCGAGTTCGATGGATGCTTAGCCAAGAGCAAACTAAATCAAATCCTCTGTCGTCTGAACTGTAGGTTACTTCTATGTTCACTTCAGATGACCAATAGCAACATCAGCTACTACAGTCCAACATCAGCAGCTGACAACTGTGGTCTAGATGCTTTTTATAAAGAGGTGGAGGAAGAGGTAGTCCGCAAGGAAAAGTTGTTTTTCAAATTTTCTAAGGGCGACTTTGACGCGAAAATCGGGATGCCACTAAAAGACAATTTAGAATTGAGAAAACTGGGTAGAGCTCAGGTGCAAAAACAGCAAAGTCCGTTGTGCTTCCCTCGCCCGCACAACTCTTCCGTTGAAGCTTTATTTTCATGAAGACATAACATCGCCGATAGACATGGGTTTTCGTAAATCGACCATATCTGCATCAAATAAGTGATTTTTAGTGATTCCGTCCTTCTGCGGTAGTTCCCATCACCTTATCCTTTGAGCGATGGCTATTTAGTCGGGAAACTGGAAAAAAAGCTTCGCCGCAGCGCTGCAAGAAGGAAAGAATGACGATGCTGGAGATGCTCATATCAATGTGTGATTGGCCACTCGGAAAGGACGTAACGCACGAGTACGACCGGTGACGGATTGCCAGCTGCAGTGCTCCTTTGTGACTTTCAAGAATGACTTAGGACGCTTCTCGAAGATTGTCACTTGTTGCTCGAGAGAAGAAGAGCCCCACAGCACAGATGAGAATGAACTCATCTTGTGGTGCTAGCTGCCGATAGCTTTATAGGAGAGTTTTGAAAATGCGGGGAGAAAGATGTGAAAATTATTTTAAGAATGCGAAGCCCCAAGGAAGTGACGACGCGACTATGAATACTTATAAATAACATGTACCTCTGGCGGCATTACTAAACGATAAGGGGTTCTGACTTTTCTTGGACAATAAATGTAATCGATCGTTAATCGATCAAGATGAACGTCTACACCTAGCTCCTTAGCTCAACAACGCCCATGCCGACTCCCTAGTTTGTCACGGAAAAGTGATATCACGCATATATTTGATAAAATGTGAACCGCGGTGCCATGTGTCATGTACAAGCTTATTACAAAAAATAGCTATTTCAAGGATACTGGATGAAGGTCACTTCTGCGAAGAAGCTGAGTTTCGCGCGGGAACCTTCGCTTTGCAAAGACGTCCTATTTCCGAGTATCACTAGAACACAGACTGTGCTGGCATCGCTCGCAAATAAACCGTCGGGCCAGTCACGTCAGTCATGGGCAGCATAACGACAGGTGCACAACGTCGAGAAATTCTGAGTCAAATCCTTGCAAACCAAAACTTTTTTCAAGGCCACCAACGAGATTATGTTAGAAGCGAGCAACAGATACGAATAGCCACATCGTACTGTGGTCTACACGCTGCGTCCAAATAACTAGGAATAAGAAGTAGAAGGTTTTTCCTGGATAGACATAATTTCAGCTATCACGTAATGCGAGTTTCGTGCGGTTGTAATTGTTGTACCCTACTATCAAAGGGAACTATTTATGGCTGTTGCGCTTTGTGTTCTAAGTTATGAATCATACCTCGTCAACTGTTTTACCCGAAGCGCGCGAAGATTCCCGCTTCCTTGTCTTTGACGACTGCGTAGACGTCCACTCTATCAACCCCGTATAGCTAAAAATCACATCTGTTGCGACTGAAAATCTTTCACGAGAACACAACAGTGAACCTGCTTGGTGTGGTGTTAGGCATGGCATTGATCGACAGTGCTGCACCGTCCTTGAGTCTTCTGCTAAAAATGAATCACACTCATTCATAGTCCCTTTATATAGTAGCGCACAAAGTTCCCACGATTGAATTTACGCTCATTGCCAGTTAGAATGTTGTAGAAGTGGTCTATCACTTAGTAAAGTTCTACAATTGTAATACCCCTTGCACAAGGAATGTCCTGCAAATCAATTTCACTTTATTGTCGTATGTACAAGCCTACCCACTCAGACATTGGGAGCGGATGAGCGAGCCGCGGCCCTTATTTTAGTACACCGAGCAACCGGCTAAATTTTCACAGAATCCGACCAGAGATATCGCTGTAATAAAGTGAAAGGTCTCGGGTCAGACGCTATGGTGCGCCCCACGCGCGGTGGTGCAATCACACTAAATTACATCGAGCGAGTCGCAGCTCTTAACTTATGCCACTGCCGACCTGAGGCCCTTAACTTACTGCAGCGCTCCATCCACCGGTTGGCCCGCGGACGGTGCAAAAACCCTGCCGGGGACGGTGCAAAAACCCTGCCCAACGGCATTTGAGGTCCGCGGTAACTCCGCACTAATAGAGCAAATTTCTCCAAAGGTAAACGCGCCAAAAATCCGGGTGGAGGCATCTCGTTCAGTGCCACGTAAAATTTCTAGATTTCCACAAAATTCTTTTTTACATGATATGGCTCTGCACTACACATTGATATACTGACTCCCAATTTCATACGGTGAAAAACAGATTTTTGAACGGAAACTGCAGGTATAGCGAGGACACTTTGGGTTCGCCACACCATTGTTGCACGTCATATAGCAAGATTTTCCAACAATTTTTTCAGAGAATATTTAGAATTTATAATACAGGGTGTCCCAAAAGTATGTATCGAACGTTTGATCGTTAATAACTCTCTTCCCAAGAAGTCTTTTGCCTTGCTTCAGGTACCGTTTTGTAGAGCTGGCTTCAACTTAGATTTGCAGTATAGAACGAATCACTCATTTCTCTTCATTACTGTAGGATTACGGTAGAAACTTCAAGGAGGGTTTTAAGCAATGAAAGGCCATATTTTGCCCCAGAAAGGAAACAAAACAGCCTTAAAACTTTTACACTAGGCTAATTAGAGTTGCTGATTATAACTGTAAAGTTCCCAACTTATTATGATGCTTCATTGAAGAGTTATGCCAGGTAAGAAGTAGCGGCCATTTTTTCAATGTTCCTAAAAAGTGGTATTGCACCGTTTAGAAAGCTTCGCAATCTTGTGAATAGTTAATTATTGAACTCAGCGTCCATAAAAACCCTATTACACAAGTTTTCACGATTTTTTGAAAAATTTTGAAACGGCAGCTTTTTTCACATTAACACCATATGTTTCAAGTTTCTACCGTAATCCTACAGTAATGAAGAGAGATGAATGATTCGTTCTATAGTGCAAATCTAAGTTGAAGCCAGCTCTACAAAACGGTACCTAAAGCAAGGCAAAAGACTTCTTGGGAAGAGAGTTATTAACGATCAAACGTTCGATACATACTTTTGGGACACCCTGTATACGCAGAGAAATGATGAAACTTTTTGTCAAGTCAACGTGTGTTTTCTTTGAGGTAAGCATTTGGTAGTTCTCGGTAAGCTTTCTCAGTCTTTCCAGAAAATTGTTATACTTTTCATGGTCCCGTTCAGTACGAGCAAGGTATATCTTTTGAGCCAAAATTATTTGCAGAGTCCAGCGGGGAGTAGAGATGCTGATGCAGGCGACACTGCGTTTGATAAGCTCTGTATCTTGATTACCTATTTTTAGGCAAATTTTGTTGAGGCTTTTTTCTCGGACTATTGGTTTAATGGTGGATTGATTGTTTATCTTGCAATTGCGATGTTGCTTTCTGAATCTATCGAACAAATACGTACCAGTTCGGGAACGGATTACGATAATGGCCCGTAGTAAACTACCGTCAGGGCATCTCTCCTGAGGCGGACCGGAGTTTATATTTTGGCGCCTCAGTCCAGCATCCGGCGAGCTATTGATCTGAATGCAGATCGCTTCCTGGACATTATAATCAAGTGCGTTCTCGAAAAAACAGCTACTTGATTCGATTGGTTAAATGGGTAAGCCATTGGAATTACACGCTCGCGGCCGTGGTTCAACTCCGCCTAGCGACACAACTTTTGCTGCATCGCCGGGCAATCTTTGATAGCGGCCACTATCCAATCGATGATGACCGCTATCAAGGATTTCGCCTAGCAAACGCAAAGATAAAACAAAAGAAGATTTCGTTACGAAAATTTTGCGAAAAAACGAAATGGTTGCAACGTGAATTCAATGAAATGAACAAATGAGTCGTCGTTTTGGACAGCTTCAAAAAACCAGTAAAGTTTACAAAAAAGAAAAGAATTTGTTTTTTTCTGTCTTCCTCGCCAAAATCAGCTGTTCATCGATCCTCTCCTTTTCGGGCGCGGTTGTGCAATTTTGCTCCGATTTTGTCCGCAGTGTTAGGCAAATTGCTGTGTATCGTAAGTTACTCAGGAGCAACTTACGAAGATTTTCTCTGCGTTTTCTTTTTAGCACACTATTTCTGGACATCATCGCTCATATCATCTCCCATGACCCGGCAGGGAGATCATCTCCCTGCCGAACTTCACCTGAGGCTCACCTCTCAGGTAACGTTGCATCCCTATACCATGGGGAAATGGGCGGTCGTCATTTTACTGACAGAACCTCACATGAAGGTCTCAGGGGAGATAATCTCCCATGACCGAGCTTTACTACGGGCCAATGTCTCCATCTGTTTCGAATGATCTTTAGGGACAAGTATATGCATATCAAATTCACACTCTTTGCCGTTCCTCCTATTTTTTCGTCCGCTAACGCTTGACCAAGCAGCTTGAGCATGCATGCATTATTATGTAAAGCGTAGTCAATTCCTTCAAGCCGCTCTTTTTGACTACCTTTCCAGCACAACAGATCTCTTCGCGCTAGACACTGTTATTGTTGATAATAAGCAAAATTGTGCGATTTGACAAAGTGCACACAAAGGACATCGATCATGGCATGATCTTATCCTAGTCGGTGTTATGGAAGGAGAAAATCAGTCCCACCATCCGTCTTTTGTTTGACCAAGGAATAACAAGCTAATGTAAAAAATGATTCTATCATTATTGCTCAACATGCAGATTGGCTGAAGACACTCTAGTGAAAACTTCAATTCATTTTACTGTTGCAATTCAGTCCTAATATAAATGTCAATTTCTTCTTCCCAACCTATTGCCAGGTCCAGGCTGATTTGAATCACCTATCTCACTTGGTAGTGTCGCATAAGTTCATTAAAAATTCGCTCGCTTTTCTCGATGAAAGGACTGAGCTAGACTCTAATGCAAGACATCAAAGCTTTTTTTGCACGAATTGGTGCTCAATTTGCAAATTGTAGAGAATGCATCATAATTTCTTTTCCAGTTAGTCCAATGGCTTTTTACGAGTATCGCCACCAAATCTCCAAAAAAAAAGATCTTTTTGAAATCGCTTTGGGTGCAATCTCTCTCAGCCAGCACCCCATCCGAGAACAAATCCTAGCACTATTCAAAAAATCTACTCAGCTGGGTGTCCCTTTCCTAATTCTATTCCTGTCAAACTTTTGGTTTTTGATTTTTCACTGAGACGTCTACCGTTTGTTCAGGCGCATATTAAATGACTTATTCTTTCAAATACATACGCCTAGGTCATTCATGAGCTCTGGACTAGAGATGTAAACAAGTTTCGCATAGAAACGATAACGCTTGCGAAAACTAGATCCCAATGGACTCTAGGGAAAGTAGTAATCCACCCGCATGTTGGCAATATGACGGCGAGCTCGCGGATCTCATGACATGCTTATGTTTTGGGCATAAGGTTTGCGAGTCGACTTCTTAATGAAGATAATCACAAGGCAACGTGAAGTCAATCACAAAACCATTGCACCTTATGGGATGAAACTCTTATCTGGCCAACGAGAATTAGCATGTTAACCATCGAACTACACGTGCCAATCACGTCTCATTCAGGAAGGCTAATCAAGTTCACCAGTCACCTTCGCATTAACATGTTCATCACACATAAATACACGTGCACCGCTGAGCTAGGTAGCTATTCGTATTGTTCGTTTTCTCCCAAGCCTTCTTTGTCAAATGACACTAAACAAGCTGAAAATAGATAGCTGGTAACAAGTTCCCTGGCCAGATCCTGATAGTCGCGTTAGCTGCCAGCGGGCAGCCAATCCAATGAGTCTAAAACAATGCTTGTCCGTGAGGCTACTGATTTACGCATGACAGTTCAAGATATTAAAAACAGCTCTACGGGGTCAAGCAAATATTGGACAAATTCCAGTCGGGACGACTTGCGCGTGCACGCACCAAGAATATCCGGGGAAGAAAAGAGTGGCAAACAACTTGGAGCCAGGGCCCGTAGTAAACCCCCTCCTGGTTGTCACAACATAGAGGGACTATGTCGTGATAGCTCGAACTATCTCGCAAGTCTATAGCGAGCTATCCGCAGGGGGCCGCAAAACCAATGCATAAACGAGTGATCGAACTACAGATAATCGCAATAACAGCGCCCACAGCAACTGCGCTATGGATAGGCAATTTCGAAGGTGTACCAGAATGGGAAGGGCCTGGAGCAGGCAGAGCAGCGTAGGTAACCTATTATGACCGGAACGGCGTGTAATACTCCACACAGAGTGTGCCTAGTAGATATTAGTATTGTGGAAGCAGTATCCGCTTGCGCAACTACCGTAAAATTGCACATGCAAGCAATGTCGACTTGCCGCGCAGACAGCGCAGCGTCAGTGTCGGATGTCAGTGTGGTTGATGTCGGGGTATAAATCCTGCCTCGAGCGACTTTTTGCAAGTGGCGGATCTTCAAATTTTCATATTTATGAGCCTAAATTTGAAAATTTTCTGGCAGTAAAAAGAAAATTGTATGCAAAACACATAAAATCGAGAATACACAGGGAAAAGTAGTATATAAAATAATTATCAT